CCTTTGGAAGAACCCCCTTCTCCTAGTACCCCACCATGGCACAGCACACTTAGAGCTGCCTGCCATGGGTTCTTCAGAACACAGTCTCAGAATTGGGGAGTCCTCATGCTTTGACTTAACACACAATATAATAACTACAGCAAACAAATGTTGTTAGGTGAGATATTTCTTGGCTTAGAAAAATGAAGGGCTGGGGTATTGCTCTGTGGTAGAGAACTTGCCTAGTATTTATGAGGCATGGGTTCTGCCCATACCACTGCAAAGCAAAACAATGTCATTATAAAAAAAAAAAGAAGAAGAAAAGATTATCAATAAGGTTTTGCCAGGAGTCACAAGAGGCCGTGGATTAGCTTGTCTTGTATACTATGGTATACAAATATTTTGAGCAATATGTATGTCCATAATTTCTCAGATGAACTCATTAGAGTGTACAGGCTTTCTCTGTGAGTCTCCATGTGTCTGGACTTGTCAGTTACATTCCGGATCTCCAGTGTGTCCATTTCCTCAGTTGCTGCACCCAAGACCTACAGGTGGGAAAAATCAACCCTGTCCCCACATTGAACCTAGGATGGCATTGGACAGTTGTTTTTGTTCTGTGAGAAATCAGTTTTGCTTGCTTTACAAAAGCATGGAAGAGTGTTCCATAAGCATTCCCATCCGTTTTCCACTAGCGCATATCTCCTTGCTATTGTAGAAATCATGGACCCTGACGAGCAGTTGGAGACCCTTCATGAAGCACTGAGACAGCTGCCGCCTGCCCACTGCGAGACCCTCCGGTACCTCATGGCCCATCTGAAGAGGCAAGTGCAGCCTGTAGCTTACTGCTGTATTACAGCCAAATCTCAAGAATAAAATTAAGCAAAAGGTGAAAGAGAGGACATGTTCTCTTGAGTGAACGCGTAGGTGCATAGCGGCATTGTCTTGTGAGAAATTGCATTATTTGGTAAAGGGTGCTAAAAATATTGTACCCTGCAGTACCCTGGCATCCATGCCTTGCCCTTCTAGGACCTGCTTGTAAGGATGCTCGTGTTCTGCAGACACTGGTGAGTGTTTTGGAGGAGGAGAGGGCTGCTGCCGTCAGTTTGTGGGGCAGCTCACTTTATTCTTAGCTTATCGCTCCAATTAAGCACTTGAAGCTTGAGATGGGATTTTAGACTACTTTACTGCCCTTACCAACACCGGAAAGTGGCACACAGTGATGGAGTCTGGAGGAATGCTTCCCGTTAAGAGTCTTAAGCTATTTTATGATTGATGGTGATCAATCTCTACCAGCTGAAACAAAAATTTCACAGTTATATGACATCAGCAGATTTAGGGCCTCAAACTCAAATAGAAACACAAATTCTAAATTCCCCAAAGCATGCGTTGTCCAGAAGCACACATGCATTTCAGGCACGCGTGGATGCCCGCCCCGTTCTTCCTTTCTTCCTCCTCTTCCTTCTTGTCTTTGATTTTGAGACAGTGTCTTGCTGTGTGACTCTGGCTGACCGTGACTTACTGTATAGGCCAGGTTCATCTCCGCCTCACAGAGACCCGCCTGCCTCACCTCTGTAGTGCTGGGATTAAAGGTGTGTGCCACCATGCCCAGCTCTTTCCCACTTAAAGGCGCCGTGAGTGAGTTCATGCTTCCTTTGGGTGTGCTCACAACTCATGCATGCCATTGTCAATTAAAGTCGGCTTCATATTTGACTTTAGTTCTGTGTTCTATAATAAGAATCACTCTCTAAGATGGTCTGTTCTGATGCTGTAGGGTGCTAGGAAGAGAGACAGACCCGAGACTGTCCTGACTGTAGGCCACTCCTCCCTGCCCCCACAGCTGCTCTCCTAGACACTCAGTCTCACTTTGCAGAAAGGCCCAAGGGGAGCCAGAGAGCCAAGGAAGGGGAGGGCAGACCTCTTCTCCTTACCCCTTAAGTATCTGAACCCACACGGACTTTAAAATCTTTATCAACATGACCTACTTCAAAAGAAGTCACATTCCTTGAAGCTTCGGAGAAGCACAGGAAAGCAGCCTGGGAGAGCTGGCCAGTAGCCACAGGCCTGGACGTGACTCTGGCTTTCATCTGGGTGCTCAGATTGCTGGAGCCCTGCGTCACTGAAGTCCTCTGTCCTCCCTGTGTTTCAGAGTGACCCTTCACGAGAAGGAGAACCTGATGAGTGCGGAGAACCTTGGGATCGTGTTTGGGCCAACCCTCATGAGATCCCCAGAACTAGACCCGATGGCCGCCCTCAACGACATACGCTATCAGAGACTGGTGGTGGAGCTGCTGATCAAAAATGAAGACATTTTATTTTAGAGTTTTGATTTGAGGAAAAAAGAAATGTTTTACAGATGAAGGAATGTTTTCTAGTAATTTAATTAGCTTCACTAGCTGAATTGTTTCTTGGTTAAAGGTTTGGCCAAACACCCAGATTGAATGAAGGAACTCCTTGTCATTTCCGTAGCACCACTCAGCTGTCCCTGTCAAACCAAAACACACGCTTTCCGGTCTGGAAATCCTGGGTGTTTATCATGTTAAGAGAAACTCAAGCTCCTGCATGACCCCCTGTTTGGTGAGGAAACCCCACATCAAGGAATCTCAGACGTGAACCTGCACCGCCTCTCTGCCCTGGGTTTCCTGTGCCTGTCACCCAGCATGCTGCCCAGAGTAAACTGTCATGACTTTGCCATCGGTTTCTGACGCTTGCACACTCACGCATACACGCACAGGCAGCGCCCTGCCATCCACCCACCCCACACTCGGTTCCTCCCCAGCTCTTTCCTCTACCATAGTGCTTTCTCTCCAGCAAAGCAGGATGTCTGCAGGTGTGCCACTTCAGTAAGCTACCCTACCAGTACAAGTGCACCACACGGCGTTTTCTGTTAAATTATTGGTTTTCAGCTGTAAAGTTATATTTTTACCTGGCATGCAGTTGTTAATTTATTAAATTTGGCTTTTAGAAATCAAAACTACTCATAGCTTTTTTTGTTGCCATGGGGAGAATAGTTAGAAAGTTGTACTTGGCATTAGTTAGCACCAGATGCCTCCCTTCCCCTGCCTGTTGGTCACTAAGGGATTATGGTAATCTCCTAAAACAGTTTATACTGCCTAGAATCAGCATTCACTTATTGGATTTATTCTTTCTTCTCCTATTACTCTGGCAGAAGTCTGTAATGTTTTCTCCACTTTGGGGTCAGTTTTCCTTGAGATTCCTAAGGTGAACAGGGCTCCCTGTCTGGAACAGCTAGGGCTATGTGCATGAAGCTTTAACACACAGCTGAGCAAATGCCAAGGCAGCTTGTCAGGGGGTCTGCCCTGGATACCAAGAGTCCCATCCGTGCCAGACTGCCACCAGTCAGCTATGTAGCTGTGAGCAGACAGCCATCTCCTTCTCTTGAACTGTGAGATGAGCACCCGCATAGAGCTGAGGTTCCATCTGCTTTAAACAATAAAACAAAACTTGTATGGTAATTCACACCTGTAATCCCAGCACTTGGGAGGAAAAAGTGGGAGGATCGAGTTCAGGGCTAGCCTCGGGTACCTGAGACTCTCTCAAGCCAACACTCAGTGGAACAGCTGGGTACAGCAGTGTATTATGGTCCTAACTACTGGGGAGGCTGAAGGAGGAGCAGTATTTGAGTCCACGAGTTCAAGACCGGCCCAGGCAACGTGGTGAAATAAATAATAAAAGGTGAAAATGAAATACGTTCCTGCCCCAGAGCAGTGGGAGCTGGTGGAAGTGCAAGGCTTTCTCATTCCATGCTTCCTTCTCTGGGCTATAGTGGGCACGGGCAGTTTGCTCTTTTACTACTGTTCACATTGAGGGAAAGTGTGGCTGCCCAGCTGTCTTTTAACCAGTGTCCGATGACAAATGTCACCTCACTGTGATATGGGATTCCCCTCTCTATGCTGTGAATTCTTGTTGGTTAATAAAGAATCTGTCTTGGGCCTGGCAGGGCAGAACAGAGGTAGATGGGGAAAACTAAACTGAATGCTGGGAGAAAGAAGGCAGAGTCAGGAGAAGCCATGGAGCTCTGCTGGAGACAAACACCAGAACTTTACCCAGTAAGCCATAACCTTGTGGCAATACACAGATTAATGGAGATGGGTTAATTTAAAAGATATGAGTTAGCCAGAAATATGCTTAAGCTATTGACCAAACAGAATTACAAATAATATGGTTTCTGTGTGATTATTTCGGGGCTGAGAAGCCGGAACAAAACAAGCGCCTCCTACAGCAACACTGAGCAGTGTGGAGCAGAACACACAGATTGGTTAGATACCGAGTAAATGGTCTTCAAAGTGGAAGCAAATCACAGGGTGGGGATCAGCTCAGCAGAATCCTTACCTAGCATGTGCAGAGAATTTGAATAGCTACACTGAAAACTAATGGTAAAACAGTTACAGCCATGAAGCTCATCCATATTTAAGCACACATCTCATAGATCAGGGCCTTTATTTAAAAAAAAAAAACAACAAAACCTGTCAAGGCATCTAAAAGAGCTGACAGGCTTCCTGGATTTTGAGACAGGATCTCTATACCATCTGGCATCGGACTTAACTATGTAGCAAGCAAGACTCAAACTTCCAGCAATCCTCCTGCTTCAGTCCTCTAAGCTCTGGGATTATAGGTATGAGTCACATGTCAGGCCTTACAATATCTTTTAATTATTCTAAATTGTCAGATGCAATTTTCCCTGATTGCCCAATTTTTTTTGTAATTGATGGAGTTACTGTTGTGGCCCAAGGCTCCGAATCAACCCAAGCAGACACCAGAGGATACCGCAAGACAAGATTTAAAGCCGAGCAGCACAAAAGGAGTGAGAGAGGGGAGGGGGCTGGTTGATCAGGGCCACAGAACCGAGCTGAACCGCAGCCCTGAATGCCAGCTGAAGCAAGTATTTAAGCACAAAATCACAAACATTTGTTGCCAAGTTACAGTTAAAATTTTCGCCAATCGGGACTTAAGAGATTAGGGGCTTCCTTGAATGTTCAGCTCCGTCATTGCCAGCCGACACAATGGATTTGTTTGTTCCTTCCACTGTTAGAAATAGCTGTAATCGAGAACTAGAGATACGTAACGACTGTTCCTGTGGTTTAGGAGGAGGTGGGTCAGCCACTGGAAGGTTCCCAGCTCCCCCAGGGCCTGCGAACCTGAACTCTGTTTCACCCTGCAGGTAAAACGGAGTTCAAAATGGCAGGACAGGTGCTTTGTGCCTGCTCCAGACGTGATCATTTAAGTAAGGTGCTCTATATTACGGTGGTTGCTGCGGCTTCAGGTATGGATGGGTCCCCTCAGGTCCTTGTAATTCATTGGGAATTTTCCAAATTGTCACATTTGCCAATTCCATCCATTTGGCACGGTCCTCTGGTCTTTGTTTTTCCTATAAACTGAAGGTTAGGTGAGGCTCTGGCCTACCTACCTCCCAACTTAGAGACTGGGACTCAGCTTGCGGCTTGAACAACCTTCCTGCCTCTGCCTTCTGAGTAGTGGGGACATGCAGCCTGTGGGCTACCATAAGAAACTTGTGAAACCACAGCTTTCTGAGGAGAGCCTTCACCCTAAAAACTTGCGTTGAACTGGTGTGGGTACTGGCGATCCCTGGGCTTTGTTGTTTATTTATGTACGTGGGTGTTCGGCCTGCGTGAATGTCTGTGTATGTATGTGCCTGGTGCCCATGGAGACCAGAAGATGGTATTGGCTCCCCTAGAACTGGAGTTATAGATGGTTGTGAGCTATCCTGTGGACGCTAAGAATCAAACCCAGGTCCTCTGCAAGAACAGCCAATGTTCTTAACCCCTGAGCCATCTCTCCAGCCCCCCAGATCTTTTGTCCTACAGAGCCTCAAATGTGCTCGTTTTGTTACGTTTCAGAATTGCTAACCTTATTCCTCGAGGAACCACAGATCTGTCCCTCTCAGTCACACCAGCTCTCAGAGAGGTACTGTGGGGTTAGTGGAGATTTTCACAGCTGCCTCATGGTCCAGGCCGCTGCTACAGGAGGGGCTGAAATGCAGGCTTACCTGTGGCGTTGCTACTGTGCTGACTCTGCTCACCCCCACTCCCCAGAACCACCAAGTGTCCCCTCTGCTGCTGCAGGAGACCCCTCTGGAAAACCAGCTCCTCACAGCATAGCTTGCCGCAGCCAAAACCTGTTAAATTCTTCCTGTAACTTCCTTCACACCTGAAACAAAGCCACGCTCCTTGTCATGGCTGACAGCCTGCTGTGGCTGGACCCATGCCTACTTCTCTAACCACGTCAGACTTGAGCATCCTCATCACCTGAACAACTTGGGTAGCAATTTTCCAGGCCCCACTCCGAATTCCTGAGGTAAAGCCTGGAGTGGGGCCCAAGGCTTCCATTTCTAAGCGCATGTAGTGATGCGACACCCACAAGGGTCCCACTCTGGGAGCCGCTGGCCTGGGATTTCTAGAACCTCACTGCCCACTAGATCACCGCAGGTCAACGAAACCCAAGGGTGTGTTGGCAAGGCTTGGGCAGACAGCATCCGGGGTCATTCTATAGTCCCCTTTTGCTAATTGTAGTGGCTTCATTTCCTCTGGGTGTGTTACAATGCACTAGGAATTTGCTTCAAGTAGAATCAAATAGCAGACGTGGGAGAAACGGTTGTCACGGCATTTCTGCACAAAGAAACAGGAGGCAGGGCACAGCCAGACACACAGGGCCTCACGGGGAAGAAGTCAGTGGCTAGAAAGCATACTGGCTGGGCCTGGGCCAGAGCCTTTGTCAGGTTCAAGTTAAGGACTCGCCAGTAGAATAGTGTCCTAGGCGGTGGCCCGTGGTGCTAATCCCTGTTCCCACCTGGCTCTGGTGATTTAGTGCAAGAACACTGACTTGATGGCAGGGGGTTGTTGGCTCTGGATTGCTTTGGCATCTCAAAGGGGAGTCCTTTGCGCTCTCTAGGAATTGGCTAGATATGGGAGGGCACTCTCCAAGATATGGAAAATACAGAAAAGAATGAAGTTAATTAGTCCGAAGTCCTTGCTTTTTTCCAGTGTCACCTCCCTGTTTCTGACCCACAGCTGACTCTGTCCTCAGTACAGTCTTCTCTTCTCTTCTTCCTCTTCCTCCTCCTCCTCCTCCTTTTCTTCTTCTTCTTCTTCTTCTTCTTCTTCTTCTTCTCCTCCTTCTCCTCCTCCTCCCTCTTCCTCTTCCTCTTCTTCTCCTCCTCCTCCTCTTCTTCTTCTTCTTCTTCTTCTTCTCCTTCTCCTTCTCCTTCTCCTCCCCCTCCCTCTTCCTCTTCCTCTTCTTCTCCTCCTCCTCCTTCTCCTTTTCTTCTTCTTCTCCTTCTTCTTTTCTCATTGAGGGGGAGAGGGAGGAAAATGTATAGCATATTCCTATCCAAACAATTAAAATGATTCTAAATTGCACAACTCACTAAATATAAAGTGGGTCTAAGTCAGAAAAAGGGAACGGGAGTTCATCAAACCTTATAGAAATCAGAATGAATCATATCAACACCTACTTGTTACTTAAAACCCTTTATTAGGAGACCAGGGAGGATCACTAGAAACCGCTGAAGGATGTTTTTATGTAACAGGAATTAAGCTCAAGGCTCTGATACCACAACAGTAGTTTGTGTTAGAGGTGATCAATAGCTTCAGAATTCTTCATTCCCTGGCTGAGACTAAAAGTCCATGGGAGTTGAAACTGGATTGTTCTGAGAGTTGTCCGGTGGGACTTGAAAGCTGGTACCCCAAACACTGCTGTTTCACAAGTGAGTCGGCAATCTTCTGCCCTTGGCACGGGGCTGTGTGCCAGTTAGGGTTAGCATATACTCAAAAGTTGCTTCAGATTAAGGTCCCCTGAAAATTGACTTTTTAAGTTACAAGGCAGGAAGGGAGGGAAGAAGGAAGGAAGAAGACAAAGACAGGCTGACCTGGGCTGTTGAAGACAGAGTTCTTCTCTCTTCTGTCTGGTTTGCCCCAGCTTCCCAGGTTTCATAGTTAGCCGTCTGCAGAGGAAGCTAGCCTCTTCCACATTGCAAACTCATACTGTTTCAGCTCTGAATATAGGTTATATTTTTTATTTTTATTTTTTTTAAAGATTTTATTTATTTATTATGTATGGAAAGTCTGCCTCCATGTATGCCTGCAGGCCAGAGGGCGCCAGATCTCATTACAGATGGTTGTGAGCCACCATGTGGTTGCTGGAAATTGAACTCGGGTCCTCTGGAAGAACAGTCAGTGCTCTTAACCACTGAGCCATCTCTCCAGCCCCCTGAATATGGGTTATAGAAAGGAAAAAAATCCCTGCCTGTGCCCCATGAACTGCCATGTTGTTCTTGTTCTAACTTTAGGACCAAGAGAAGCAAAGGGCTGGTGGGAGGTTGTTCTGGAGAGTTTTCACAAGCAAGAAAGTCCCTGTGCCTAGTACATACACATCATCCACTCCATAACTGGATGGTCAGGAGCCTACCAATGACCAGAAAGGGACAGACCCCTTTGACTTTTGCCTGAGGTAGAGATGTGCCCACCACCAAGCACTTCCCGTCCCCTCCAAAACCCGATCAAATACAAGGTAATATAGGTGGTAGAGAAATCCCAAGGGATCTACCAGCAACACCACAGTCTCTCACCAGTCTGTTTTTCCTACCCTGAAATCTGGGCCCTATGAAAGACAACCCCCAAACGCAAATGCTCAGCTCAGAGCACAGGCAATGATTTCTGTGGTGTTACAGGAAGAGGGTACAGTTTGGGACTGGAGACACAGCTCACTGATTGTAATCACTGCACTGTGGGCGAAGGGAGGAGAGCCCTGCTGACCAGCAGAGCCGAACCCCGAATTACCCAAATTGAGGGCCTGCTTCTTATACCCACAACCAGCAGAGCTTTTCCTTGGTGAGTAGGGGAGGGTGACTGCAGAGATGATGACTAGGTCTCGAGCCACTCCCACGGGAAAGGGAAACCTCAAAGAGCGTGAGCGGCCTGCTTCTGGCTGATCCTGGTGTTGACAGTGTACTTTGCAAGGAAGAGCTTGTTCCGGAAAGATCGATGGGGGAAACAGTGCGAACTCAAGGGGTCAGAAGATCTGTCCAGGGGAGCGAGGCATTAGGATGGAATTAGTGTCCTTGGAGTTACTGAGTCTGAGCCCGAGCCCTGGCAGCCCTAACAAGCTAGTTCAGCCACCCACCTCAATAGGCCAATTAAAGAGACAATCGAATAGTGAAAAGCAGAAAAAGGAGATTAAGTCTGTTGGGAAGAAGTAAAAAGAGGTACAGTCATTCTCCAAAGTTCATCTTCAGCGCCCTGACAAAGAGGAGGAATCAGCCAGCATCTCTGAGCAGTTCCGGTGGAGGTGTGGTGCCGCCCGTCATCTGGACTTAAGTCTCTCCTGCTAGGTGGCCAGCCAGTTGTGAGAATTGTATGACATCTCCCAGGAGACAAGCCAGGGTTTCAGCCTTGCCTTCTCCCAGCAAGAGGTTACTGGGGAAGTTCCAGTTCTTTAGGATGTCTGTCTGATGGCCAGAGAGAAAGCCGGAAGTGTCTCTAGGATTTCTTCGTTCCTAACAGGCAGTTACAGCAGCTTTGGCTTTGTTTTGCTTTATCAAGGACTGAACCTAGGCTGCCAGCAGCTGCACAAGCTCTACCACTAAGCAACAACCACACCCTCCTCCTGCTACTCCTCCTCCTCTTCCTCCACCACCTCCTCCTCTTCTTCCTCACTTTTTGAGGCAAGGACTCACTAAGTTTCTCCAGGTGGCACTGAGCTTCTCCAGGTCTTGAATGTCCTTCAGGCTTCGTCCTCCCTGGGGCACCGTAATCACGTATCCGCACCACCAAGTCTGGCTAGCGCTGGGCTCCACCAAACGGAGGACTCCAGGCTCGTGTGATTCTCTTGGGAACCTGGGGTTCCAGGGAGCAGCACACTGCAGCTCTAACCCCGTCCCACATGTAACCCCACACTCAGGTGCGTGAGCCCGCCACCTGGCTTCCCTCTCTAAATGAAATTAGGAGACAAAGCGGTAAAGGAAAATGGATTTAATTATAGTTTGTTCGAAGTGGGAAGAGGTAAGCCTGTGGCCATCATGTAATTGAAGGGTAACTTTGTAACAAAGACTAGAACAAATGTAAATTTTGGGGCAGGCTTAATGGGTCCCTTTGTTGGAGGGGAGAAGACCTAGGCCCCAGTTGTCTCCCCTCTGTGTTAGGAAGACTTTTTTTTTTTTTTTAAATCCAAGTCCAGCTGAGGAAATGAGGTCTTCAATATCCCCAAGTTTTGAAAGAGAAAAGCATTTCTGCTTCTTTCGTTATATTGATCGCACCCATTCAGGGTCTGGAAGAATTCCTTTTCTTTTTCCTTTGACATGAATTCATTCTTCTTAAACATGCTCCTTTTCAAAGGGGAAAGATGATCCTCTGGCTGGGAGGTGGCGGCGCACACCTTTAATCCCAGCACTGGGAGGCAGAGGCAGTGAATCTTTGTGAGTTCGAGGCTAGCCTGGTCTACCGAGTGAGTTCCAGGACAGCCAAGAAAAAAAAGATAATCTGATCAAAGGGAGGGGCACAAGTGTCTCCCTGTGAGCATCCTCATCTTGTCAGGGCTCTGGCGTAGAGTTGAAACACATACTTAAGACAGAATCATGAGCCCCAAGGGACTGCAAGAAGGGCAGTAGCTTGCCTAAGCCTCCCAGACTTCCAGGAGAGGCTCTGCCTGCCCTGTTAGGTGCCCCTCCCCACACAACTCTCAGAGACGAGAGAGAGCCCCAGAGGCAGCCCACGGTGTGGGTGCTGTCATCCGTGGGCCGCTAGGAAGAGCTGATGTACAAGCCTTGCCAACGGGTGGGTGACCTGGCAGAGATGTATGGTTGGTTGCAGTGGAATCTGGTTGCCATGGGGATGAGAGGTTTTCTGCTCAAGCTGTTTGAGGAGCAAATTTTCCATTGAGTATGTGTCTCACACGCTTGTCTTTCATTTTTATATTTTGTTTTCAAGAAGCATCAAGGGTGGGTTTAACATTAAAAGATGGATTATGCAAGCCTGGAGGCTTTGGCCAGAATCCCAGCTACTCAGTAAACTGAGGCATAAGGATCAAAAAAAGTCAAGGCCCCCATTACCCATCAGCCCATGCCCACCCCACTGCTACCCTCAACTGTGGCTGATGGCTATATCTCCCCCCCCCACCCCACCCCCGTGCTGGTCGGCTTCCCAGAGGCAGCCTGATGTGCTGTCTGCCGCCCTCCAGGTGAGCTTGCCCTCCCTGACCTCTCTGCAACCCCTCCTACTTGAGGGACTAAGAGGCTTTGGGTGCACTGAACTGCCTCTGTCTCTTCAGTTTAGGTTTTTGTGTTCATTTTGTTTATCTTGTTTCTGTTTCTTGGAGGGGGAGTGGGTGGTTGAGGCCTTGCTGGACTATGGAGTAAATTCAAGGCCAATCAAGGCAGTTTAACTGACCCTGTCTCAAAATAAAGGCTAAAAGGGGGCCATTTCTGAGGCTCACTCGGGGAGATCCTGTTGTTGCCAGCGTCAGGACGATGCTGTGACTAGGCAGGGCATGGGGGGGTAGGCTCTGTGCCAGCTGTTGGCTGCTGCACACCCCCTGCCCTTGGTGACTGCCACCATGCTGTGGCCTCTGGGATCAGCTTTTGTGCTCATCGCCTGCAGACAGCGAAGCCGCCCCATACTCTCCATTTCCCAGCAGGGCAAGCAGCACCGGGCTGCAACCTTGGCAGCTTCATGGTGCGGGCAGCCGGTGGGTGGGCCTAGGACCGGCCCTGTTCAGTAATGACATGTTCCCAAGGGAGCTCCAGACCGCAACACTTACACATGTCCCTGTCATCAGTGCTGGGAGCACCGTAGCTTACTGGGCACGACCTTTGCAGCCTGCTGGCTAAGATGCGTACTCCACCATCTTTCTTTCCAAATTCGCGAGTCCACTTTTTAAAAATGTCTTCCCATAAGACCTGCCTTTTCTTTTTTTTCCTTTCCTTTCTTTCTTTTTAGTTCTGAAGCTACTGCATTCCCTGTGGATTCCTTTTCCGCCACCGTGACACCCCTCAGAGCCCCCCATGGGTCTCTGCCTCCTCAGAGCTCTTAGGTGGTGGCAACGGCCACCGCCTTCGTTTTCCTCCGGGTCCTTATGTTCTAATCTTAATTGCTGATACTAACGCTCGGATCATGCATTACACTCTGCAGAATGGCCCCAGAAGCAAGCGTTACCGAGACTACAGAGTTCAAAGAGGCTTTAGTGGAGCCGGGGCCAAGGCTGGTACCCAGAGCACACAAGGGTCACTGCAGGGGTGCAGACCAGGTGTTAAAGAGCCGCTGGAGAGCAGCTGGAGGTGTGCAGGCCAGCCACAGGATGGAGCTGACAGGAGGCGTGGCACCAGGTCTGGTGTACGCAGAGGGATGCGGCCACTTAGCGGGTGTCAGGCAGCCAGGCCCATGAGGAGCTGAAGCTCTGAGGACAGTTTGGAGTCCTCTGTCTATTGGTTCTTTCTGCACTGGGTGGTTGGATGACTGGTCAGGGAGGTCATCACAGACCACAGTGCAAAGTGTTGTCTGTCTGTCTCCCGCTATTTTTTCATATAATAGACGAATATAATATAGAGATCTCTATATTTGTATATATACATATAAATGTATATATGTATGTGTATGTGTGTATGTGTGTGTATGTGTGTTCAGGCCAGCCTTTAACTCCAGATTCTCCTACATCCATCTCCCAAGTGCTAGGGTTACAGAACTGTGCCCCTGCGCTCAGATTAAGAGGGTACTGCCCCTCCACATTGGCCTGGTATGTCCAGCAAGCCTAGGGACCTGGTTTGTACAACATGATTTTAAATATGCTCATATGTGCATATATTTCCGACCTAATTGAATATATCTACTTATAGCAAACATATTTATCAAGCTTTGTGGGCAGCAAGCCCCAATGATGCTCGTGTCTCTTCCTCCTTCCAGCCCCCCACAGCACTGGGGTTGTAAGCACATGAACAATTGTGACCTGGATTTTTACATGGGTTCTGGAGATTTGAACGCAGGTCCTCACGCTTGCACACCGAGCACTCTTACGCACTGAGCCGCCTCTCCAGCCCATCTCTTGATTGATCCTGCAATGTTTTTACCTCTGTGGGATTATGAATGGTGCTACCACTGTGAACACCACTGTGCAAGAATCTGTCTGAGACCGCTCTCTGCTTCTTAGACATGCCCCCAGAAGTAGAATCGCTGGATCGTGTGCTAGTTCTATGTTTAACTTTTTGAGGAGCTGCCAAACTCTTCCCCAAGCAAGCCCCTGTGGAGCCTTGACGGAGATGGTTTTATAATGGAATTTGGCAGTAAGCATAATTGTTGTATCTATTTTTTCATTCTCTCAGATTTACCTATTTTTCTCGGAGGGTTTCTACAAGCCCTTTTAGTTCGTTTTTCTATTATCTGTCTAATTGTAGTATGCCTGAGGGCAGTTCTGAGTTGAGAATCTATTAATTGATTAACCTGTACTAGCAGCAGGGTTGGGGAGTACCGGTTCGTTCTCTAAATCCTCTTGAGCCGTACCATGGGGCTGACGAAAATTGCTCTCAGCTACACATTTGTGGAGCCTTCATCACCCACTTCACCTTCAACCCAGCTCCACCCAGTATGCTCCCCTCCCCCGGCAGGAGCTTCTCCAGACCCTGCCTCCTGGATGCCACGGAGCTGGGATTGTGGTGGTGCTGGAAGCCATCACAGGGTCTGGAACAAGACTAACATGGAGCCTTCAGGGCCCTCCCTGATATTTTCCTTATGAATATAGAATATATTCAGAGAAACACACAGAGGCTAGAAATGTGGCCTTCACGGGGCTCCAGGCGAGAGTACTTGCCTAGCATGGGCAAGATCCTAGGTTCAGTCTCTAACACCACAAATAAACAGGTAGTCCATGTAAAGTGAGCAGTTCAGTGAGTACTTGTAGAGCAAACACCCTTGTTACCCCCACCAGGTTAAGGAGAACACTGTCCGGACTCTTCCTCCACCCTGGGGAACCGTGACCAATGCTGACCCCTCCTCCCCTCCCCTCTGGTGCAGGAGGATGGAGCGCCACAGAAACTACCCTGCAGCTACTCTGACTGCGGACCTGGGCTGTTTTAGTTACCCGTCTGGATGATCTGGTTATGGTAGCTTACGCATACCAATCCTGCATCACAGTGGCTTCAAATACCTTTCCCATAGCAACAGAAATGGACCGCTTTACCCACAGGCGATGCTGTGTCCAGATCCTTAACTGGCCACTGAAAACCACACGGCAGTTCCACAGGCCTCCTGTCTCCACCCACTCAGGCCCTGGTTATAATTTCATCTCAAGCTACTCCACAGGAGCCCAAAGGAAACAGCCGATAGTGCCTCGCTTGCCACGCAGCCAAGTTTAGCTTCTCAGCTTGCTGGTAAGCGGAGGTGTGCACCTGCGGTCAAAGGTGGTCAAACTGGTGGAAATTGTCATGGATAAGAGCAATCTGAATGGTTCAGCCTACAGAAAAGGCCCAGAGGAACAGTTTTTAATAGTAATAACACTATAGCCAGAATTGTAGCATCAGGACAATAGAGTACATTGGTCCTCAGCTGAGCCGGATCTCTCTGATGGCCTCAGCCTCTGACACATACAGAGTTTTGTCATAACTGGTGGCAGCACACTCCAGATAAGGAGTTCCGCTCCCCTGAGCATCCCTTAGGCTTCCAGAAACAACCCAGGAACCAGGAGTGCAAGAGGCACTTGGTTTACATGCAGAGGCTCCTAAAGCCTTTCACAAGGCTGCTCAAAGCTGGGGCCAAACTTCCTATCTTCTCCTGATGCTCCAGAGAGGCGAGGCTGCGTCTGACTGATGCTGAGAGCTCGCATGTATCCTCCCTAGGCCCTAAGCTCCCAGTGACCCCAGTTTTCCTGGATTCCCCTCCTTAACTAAGACCCTGATGTGATTCCCCCCATCCCTGCTTACTTACATCCCCTATCTCCAGCTCCCATCCCTAGAACTGGCCCACAGCAATCCCTCCATCATCTACCCGCTGAACTCTGCTGGGAGGAGAAAGCTGTTCTTATATCGCCTTCCTAAGCAGGACTGTATTGCAAACTGCATCCTTCTAAAGCATGACTGAACTCCAAAGCCGGAAGCTGCCTGCTCCAGCTTGATTGCAGGACTGTGCTTGGGGCATGCATGCTGGTTCAAATAAATGTGGCTCAGCTACCTGCTCTCTCTCTCCCTCTACCCAGGTGCTGGGCGGTGGGAGGAAAGGAAGGGGTGCCTCTGTGTTCCTGTTCTGGCCCTGCTCTGTGGGGGCGGAGCAAGCTGGTTCAGGCTCAGCTCTGCAGCAGCACCAGCTGGTGAGATCTTTCTCTACCCCCACGGCACCTCCTCCTCTCACCTAAAATGGGAGGAGAGGGGGAGGAAGGGCTGATTTTCCTCCTGGGTTGAATTTATCCCAACTACTTGCAGACCGGCTTGCGGAAGCTGGGAGAAGATAAACAAAGAAGGCTTGTTGGAATCTTTCAGAGCTCTCTGGGTGCTTCTCAGCCCCCTCGGTTTTTCTTCCTACCTTCCTGGGGGAAGAGCTGTGCCTGACCCCTGCCGCTCAGAGTGCAGCCTGCCTTTTTTCGAGCTGCCTGAGACCTCGCTAAGATGAGGTTCAGTTTGATAGGTGCCTGTCATTCTAAGGTTCTCAAGCAGGCCTTCGCTGAAGAGGTGCTAGCTCTCTGTTAGGTTTTAGACATGCTGGTTCAGGAAGACACCAGGACAGATTATTGGTGACAAGGACTTTGTTTGTTAATACCATGGACAGAGAGGTGGAGGTGGGGTATCACATGGCAGAACCTCAGAGGGAGAGTTGAGTACCAGAGAGGTGCAGCGTGATTTAGTCTCTGAAGAGAATCAGAGCCATGATAAAAGAAGAGGGAGCTTTTGAGGATGGAGGAGGTTCGCAACATGAGCCCGCAGCCAGATTTCCTGAATCCAAGGCAGGAGGCAGGAAAAAGGATGGAGAACAGGATGCAGCACCATTTGATGCATGCCCACTTCCTAGGTGAGATGTCAGGACTCCCTAGTCTCGGGACTCACAGTGTTCCAGTAGGGTACCTGCCAAAGCAAGGTGGAAAAGGCCCTGGCTAACATACAGCAAACATACATTCTTAGACCCGCAGCCTGCTCCTAAGCTTTCTTTAGAGCAACGGCATGTCTGCTTGCATCTTGCATCTTCTGTTTCCCTTTCCCCGTGGAGGTTTGCAGGAGAGAAACACAGATGGCAACAGCCTGGAGGGAGTAAGGGGAGTGGAGAGCTCAGACGTTCACCATGTAGCACACTAGGCTTGGACCAAGAAACAGGGTACAGTCCAGAAAGGGAAATCTTGGGAGGTGGAGACCTTGTCCAACCTTCACTGTAGCCTCCTCGACAATAAACCGTTGGATATTTTCCAATGGAAGGCGGTAGAAGCTGTTGGGGAGCAGACTCAGATCATGAGGACTTGCAGCAAGGTGTCCTGGGTAAATAGCCCCTAACCATAAAGAACGGGTTAGCCCCAGCCTAACCATTCTGCTCCAGTTACAGAAACAGTATTCCCAAGTATCTAAAACAACCTACCTTGCTCCCAGTTGAACAACACACACACACACGCATTCACATACATGTGCACGCATGCACACAAAGCTGCAACTTCCTGGTAGCTACCTATACATACATACATGTCCCCACGTTTCTCCAAATGCACTTGGCTTTTGGCTTGGAGCGTGTTTATTGCCTTGCTGTGCGGCACAGGGCACTGAGGGTCCCCTGGTTTTGAATGAAGAGACATAGGTGTGGCATGGCAGGACCAGGAGGGCCCCACAAAGAGCAGTCAACAGTGATGTGTTCACACTGGCCTGGGATTCTGAAGTGACTGTGCCTCCCAGAGGCCGAGGCCTGAGGCTCACGCTCCAGGCTTCCCTGTGACTCCCCACAGGCCTCACCTTACATCCACCTCATCCACCTCACAGAGCTCTTTCCTGCTGACACCGGTGGGTCCTGCTGCTTACCGCTCACTTCCAAAGACGCTGTGCTCTGGTGACCCTACCCACTGCTGCCCTGCTCTTCTTTTTCTTCTTTTTCTGAGAAAGGGCGTCGCTGTGCAGTCTGGTCTGGCCTCAGCCTCCCGGGTGCTGTGATGACAGCCTGAATTCATCACACAAGTCCACCACACTTCTTTCCAAATGCTCTATGCCTGTCCAAAGCCAGAGGCACCAACCACACTTAGACCATCTGAAGCAT